CAGCAGGCAAGAAATGGGCTAATGTTTGACTCGTACTACCAGTTTCCTTCGAACTGAGTGTCTGCATTACGGTCTGCTCCCTAGCATATAGTCCGAAAGAAAATTGGCCACTGCATAACATTCCTTAGACATGAACACGGTAAAACAAGTGTTTTTGCAAGGAATCTGGTGTATGTGCTTCGCGTGACCAGATTCGCATTCCTTGGTAAAATGAGAAGCAATTGTCTGCGTTTCCAGAAGGCCGCATAGAAGGCGATGTAAATGAGGTGTGACTCGACTATGGCAATGAAGGCACGAATGTAGTGGAGTAGGCACGAACCATTCTCCTGGCATTCTGGACAGTTCTTGTACGGTGATAGTCTCATTATAAAAACAACGTGCATTTCTAATGTACTGCAAAGAAGTACTTCACAGTGCTGGGAAATGCATGCGATGAAACAGTTATGAAACATGGGTGATCAATTGCCGAGAAAGTTCTTCGGTAAGTAGAGGAATTGCTGTAAGGTTAAGTCGTTGTCAATAGGACATGAATTTAAGGTCCCCAAAACTTAGGAGATAAGATTTCTTCAACAATGTGATAAATTCAATAAAAGTTGTGAAGAATACCAAGTTATAATATCCAGTACTTGCTCAAAAAACTAATTTAACGCTAATTTCAGTGATGCTTGCAAAACTCCGGACAGCAGGTGTCTGCGAGGGAGGGACGAACGCGCTATAACTCTTTCCGGGAGCTAACGCGTTCACCACCACACCATGCGAATCCCTCGTTTTGCCTGTCTCTCAGGTAGTTCTATCAATCAATGCCATCAGCAATCACCCGTCATCAGAATTGATCTGGTGTGGTGGTGAACGCATAAGTCTCTGTTCCCCACCACAGACAACTATGGTCCGGAGTTTTGCAAACATCTCAGCATCACTGAAGTTATATTACGCAAAAATACCCTGCCATTAAAAAGAGTAGGCAGTATATAATAAGCTGACATTGCGAACACTAACTAGTTTACGGCGAAAACCGAATCACGTGTAAGCATTCGTTAAAAGTAGAAGAACTTAACTGCAAATGTTTATAGAAGAATACTTAACTAAGTTTCAAGCGTTGGCAGTGGAGGAATTGCCTGTGGCGCAAAAAATGTTGCACAGGCTCGACTCGTAACTCGTTTCAGGAAGAACGATTGAACTATAAGGAAAAGTTACCAGCCTTTTGAATTTTAAGTCCTGAAGTCAAAAGCCAACGTTTCGCTTGGCAAGCTCACCCGAATCTCTATTCTCGAAGAAGCAGCCATAGAAGACTCCAATCCATGACGAGTTTACGTACTGACTTTTCTTTCGCTAAAGTACTTCAAGCATTACCGACGGCTTCTTTCAAAATCTCAAAAGCGTACAACTCTGCTCTTCATCCTCACTCGTTAGCTTTGAATCTATCAAAATTTGGAGGCCAGTAAGGAATATTAGAAAAAAATTGTTCATCAGCATAGATGAGAGAGATCTTCCATGTGACTGATTGCAATATCTATTGAAGACAGCCACCTAATGGCGAGCAATCAATTCCGAAAGACTTTTTTAAATTCCATGAAAGTTTGAACGCCTCCCAGCCAAATCAATTCTTCATTCGATATGATTTCCTTTAGAACTGAGGGAGGATGTTGCTTGATTTATTCTGCAGGTCAAGGATTTGACCCTATTGAATGAATACATCTACAGCTAGTTCTAACCCATGTATGTTTGCCAAATCGAGGGGAACAGGCCGAAGGATTTGTTCCAACAGCTATGGCCGGATAGTGTGACCTCAGTGGATACAGAATTCTGGAAGAGTTTCTAGTGAGAATTTTCATGCAAAGTTTAAATGAGTACCGAAGATTAGGAAGAAAGCGCAAAATCTCCCTGTGACCAATCCCACTGCATATCCTAGTCTGCACGCCCTCATTTTTGTTGAACAGCACTGCCATGATGGCATATTTGAAAGCCAGAGAAATTTGTCCTCAAGTTTCTACTTGATTTTGGCTTCCACCGTTTCCTTTTTGCCATGCTTTTACTGCCAAGGATGCAGCAACTTCACCAATAATGAGTTCTACGGATAACAGGAGAAACATCAAACCATTCCTCTTCTTTTGTCACGTTCCTCAAGCTAATGTCATAAAGACCAACGGAATGACACGATGTACAATAGTATCTCTTGTTGCATAGTTCATCCTCAAGAGGAAAATGATATGGTAAGTCACTTTTGCGATATACGGCACTGTATGCGAAGAACTTCGGCTTTCGTAAACATTCGCGGAATCTAACAATCTGTTCTGATGAGTACACTCTATTTGAGTTCTTGGAAGGTCTCCGTGTTTATCTACCTACCTTTTGGTAGACAATTTATAGACTCAGATTCACAAAAAATAAAAGAATAGTTTCGAAAGCCCATCGCTTTAATGGAAGACGATTGAGGGAAACGTTTGTTTTCTATGACGGTTATTTTTTGGTGTCGTAGGCATAGGTGGTCTGTTTCATCGTCAGCGACTGGTCCACTAAACGTTTAATTCCTACTATCACAGAAATCGCTATTGTCCTGGAGGAATCCAAGTCACGTAGTATTACCCTCTGAAGTCTACACAGGTCGGAAACTGTCAGTGCTGAAGACTTGAGTTTAAGCAGGCTATGTCCGGCACCCAAGAAAAATCACGCTCAACCAGCATTTCACTTGATAAGAGAAGACAACAAAGCATCAAATTGTAGCCCAAGTGAGACACGAGTTCGACTAACTTCGTGATTCGCGGTTGAAGACAATGAAGTGCCACGATTCATTCGATATGTGAAGCGGATTATCTAGGCATCTATGTTAGTACTTTATAGTTACTAAGCAAAAAAGTTGGCGTTTTGTCAAAATGTTGTTTTCCTCTGTTTTAAACAAAGTCCTTTATAATCTTAAGATTAGTCAAATTCATGAGTTGCTTCACCGACACTTGTTGTAGAATTCTCCGAAAGAGATCAGTGTTAGAAGGAACTGTTTTGAACTCGTAGGGTGACACAGAGAAGCAGTTCTCATCGTACGTCGAGCATGTGTTATTGTATTGTTATATCAATAACCGGTCTGATTGGCTGCCGAGTAAGTGACTCTCTGGCGCCACAAGGTAGCCTGCTAGGACTTCCCCAGTTCCTCACTAGCTTTAGACAACTGAAAACAAGTGCCAAGAATCGGCATTTTCTTAAAAAAAATTGCAACTGCGATACGACAAGCATTTAGTATGGTCTACCGTCGGCTGCGGTGAAAGCATAGCTGAAGTCGTAGAATACCGGACAATCTGGCCTACGACGTGCATCGGTGGAACAACCTATAAGAGTTGACTAATCCCGAGATCATAGAGGACTTCAATCGAATCGGACGAAAGCAACGTAGTCATAAAACGCCATGAAGACTTTTTTTGCTCAACAGTTATTAACAGGGGTGCGTAGCGTAGTTGTTAGAGGTGCCCTGTCATACACGTGGTCTCTGGTTCGATCCTGTGCTACAGGCTCACCAAGTCTCCCATCCCTCCGGGGTCAACAAATAAGTATCAGACTTTTCTAGGAAGATAGCAGCATCGGTAGGCCACCGTGGGTCATTGTAAAAGCCAGATATGCATTCAGTTATCTCGAAACGAGGCTTAATGAAGTCGAATGCATGGTGCCTCCCTCAGGCAATGATTGACACCAAGATTTATCTTTTTAGCTACAAACGATCATCTACAGAATGAAATGGTGGTAAAGTTTACGGGTCAGGTCGGCTAGTTGAAGTCATAGTTAGAGATGGGAATAATACTTGTAAACGTCGCCATGGACGAACTATATGATGACGATGGCGATGCAATGAAAGGAATGGAATATGTGATGGTCCCGGCAATGGATCCAAACATTCAAGTACTAAAAAACAGCTGTAGTTGTGTGAAATGCAACTGTTCGATCGCGCTGCGACGTGTTTGGCATGTGTTGGAACGCAGCCGATCGGTAGCGCTCCGGGGAACAACGCCCGTCCCGCCCCTCCTTGCAGCTCCTCGTATCCGCTTAGTTCTTCCGCCCTTCGCTATATCGTATGCTGTAAGCTTCGACTTCTTACCAATCCTATGGGCTTTTTGTCGCTCACAGCTCTGTTCACAATCACCGGTGGTAGGATTTCTTGTTTACTATTGTCCGCGAGTCTGCGAAACATTCTCAATCCTGAAGAAGGCGAAGACGTTGAAACGATAGTCAAATAGAACTCTCCACTGACCTTATGTTACCTTAGTAATCCGAGGAAATACTGGTCATTTATTCCGAAGTTAAACGAAAATCGATTTTTAGGAATGCTAGCAGATGTTTTATCATTTCTTTTTCGTACATTATTAGCCTGGTCATTTTAAACCCTTGAGGGATATGTCAAATCTTGAAGTGCTGGGTTCTAATCCACGGAAAAACGATAGTCGTTCTTCATCTTGATGTGGTGTCTTCGTCTTCGTATCGAATCCGGTCATCATCAGTGGAGCATCGCTCGAATGACGCCACCTCCCCGTGCAGCTCTCTTTCACACAGGACGGCTGTTGTCGACAGTGATTGTCCAGTAATGATAACTTGTTTTTCACCCTCTTAGGTAGATATAGTTTCACACAGTCGCGAAGATTGTTCGAGTTCTAAGGTTATTTCTGGCATAACATATTCCTTTCTGTATTCGCTGTGTATTGGATAGAAGTTCTTTGAACGTCCAAATTCACGGTGACAGTAGAGTGTATCCTTTATCCAAAATGATGGTTGTGAACTGGAACAAAGCATATCCATAGTTTCTCTTGAGGATTACTCGATCTTTGTTCTTGGTCTGTCTTCTTTTCACCAGTTGATTTTCCCAAGTTTTTTCTTATTGCTATTCTTTCACCTCAACAACGAGGTGCCTTATGTTCTTCAGCTTCTATGGTTAGTTCCGTGGTGATACACATTCTCGTGTTTTATTTTCACCTTCTCTGTTTTATTCATGAACTCTTCAATCCATGTAATACGGCTGTTCAGGCATGGCATTGTGTCGTGATACTAAGTTCCAAGAACTCAAATGCTATGTTGACTGTCACGAAAAGGAACAACTGAGCATCTACAAGGAACTTCTCAACGACCCAGACCGCTTCGCCAAATTCAGGTGACGTTTCGTCTTTACGTTCTCTCTATCTCATGCCATGCTTCCATAGTCGGATAGTCGTTTTCAATCCGTATTGGTTGCTTGTTTGCAGTCGTATCATTGACACTCCGGACGGACCTGTGCTTTTCGACTTTTCCAAACATCGAATAACAGAGACTACCTTCGAGAAATTGCTAGAAGTGGTGAATGTTGACATCATTGGTTTTTAGCTAATACTTAGTTTGAAGAGACATCGGAGGAATTTTATGTTTTCATGGCCTGCATTTTATCAGTAGGAATGAGGGTAGAGCTAACCACATGGGATTCTTTGTTCTTGGTCTATCTGCATTTGCTTATAAGGTTACTTTGCCTCTTTCAGGCTCGTTCCCGTAATATGGAAGCGATGAGAGCGGCCATGTTTGCCGGTGAACGTATCAATTTCACGGAAAACCGGGCTGTACTTCATGTTGCCCTACGCAACAGGAGCAACACAGCGATTTTTGTCAATGGACAAGATGTAGGGTCTAGAATTCGTAGCATTCACTTACTTTTTCCATAGAATAAGTTGAAAAGATGAGTATGAATGGAGCCCTAGGAAGTACTGAGCAAAGGACCACGAGAGACTTCCTAGAATGCCGTATTTATTTATGCCCATAGATGCATGTATATCAATCGATATGTATGTCTAATGTACTGTTTGAAAACTCGATTTAAAATAGCCAGTTCTGCTTCAAAAAGCGCTGGATTGCAAAATGCTTATTAGCGGATCTAAGGTACTAGGATATTTGTTGGCACTAGTGAAAAACAAGCAAGTACGTTTCGTTAGTTCGGATTTGTTTAATTTCAGTACGTAACAGTTTTGTGGGAGGCAGACAAGTAATTCCTGTTATTTCTCTAAGTAGTTATGTTTGCAGGTGATGCCAGATGTGAACCACGAACTGGAACACATGAAAGATTTTTGCGATAAGATCATCAGCGGTGCTTGGACTGGGTACACAGGAAAGAAAATCACTGATGTGGTCAACATCGGCATCGGTGGATCTGATCTGGTGAGACTTCCTATCTTTAGTTTCTAGCGGCAGAAATTCTCACGAGCATCTAGCTTTCCTTTACTTCCTTAAAAAGTGTCTTGCAGGTCATTTAGCACATCTACGACAGTACGCATTGAATTCGATGCATTTTTCTTCCATAGTTTAAAGCTTGTTCTCCGCCTGGACTTTCTCTACTATGGCTTTTGAATCATATTTGCAGCTTATCGCAAGCATTTCATCGTTATGATCTTAGAAAAGCTATTCACTACATATTATAGTCAACAATAGAAAATCATTGGGACAGGTTTTTCGTCATAAGACCCACGGCGACTCCTTGTTTTTATGCAAACAGAGTGAGGTTGGAAGTGTCGTCAATGAGAGGGGTGCAAAAAATGTTTCTTGTTCGAGAGTATTTTGCACCGTACGCATAGGATTCAATGCTTGCGAGACGAGGACTAGCGTTGTACACCGTCCCCAACATCTTGTACTGTATAGATGTTACTGAAATTTTAAGGGCCCTCTAATGGTATCCGAAGCCCTTCGTCACTATCAAATTGGGCCCAATGTCCACTTTGTCAGCAATGTAGACGGGACGCATATTGCGGAGGTACTAAGGTTCCTCGCGTTTTTGTTTTCTTGTGTAGCTTTTATGAAAGAAAATAGCGGTTGTAGGTTACAAAGAAGCTGGACCCAGAAACGACTTTGTTCATCATTGCATCAAAAACATTCACTACGCAGGAAACCATCACCAACGCAGAAACCGCGAAGGAGTGGTTCTTAAAGACGGTAAACTTTTATTCTTGCTTCTTTCTAACCACTTTAAGCCTGCTTTTTAAGGCAGAAGATAAGTCCGCCGTAGCGAAACATTTCGTAGCTCTTTCTTCTAACGTGCCTGTGGCAACAGCTTTTGGTATCGATCCAATGAACATGTTCGAGTTCTGGGACGTAAGTTCAAAAAGTCCTTTGTACGCTCCGCTGGTTTCGTTTCAATCACTTTCTTCAGTGGGTTGGTGGAAGGTACTCTTTGTGGTCGGTCATAGGTTTGTCCATCGCTGTACACATTGGATTTGACAATTTCGAGAAACTTCTCGATGGAGCTCATGCTGCCGATCAACATTTTGTTACTCAACCTTTGGAAAAGAACGTAAGCTCCAATCTTTAAAACTGTTTCCTTCCAAGATTTCACTCTTAAATGAGAATTTCTGGTGTTCTAGGTTCCTGTAATCATGGCAATGTTAGGTGTTTTGTATATCAATGTGTATGGAGCAGAGACTCATGCGTTGTTGCCCTATGATCAATACCTTCATCGATTCGCAGCTTACTTTCAACAGGGTGACATGGAGAGTAATGGAAAGTTTGTGACAAGGTTCGCATTTTTTGTATTTATGTTTTTAGGTAGGGCGTGTATAGCGCAGTGGTCGGAGGGGCCCTGCAATACACATGGGATCGATCCCAGCACCCAAGGTTCACGAAGCCTTCCATTTCTCTGGGATCGGCAAGTTAATACCAGCCTTGTCTGGGAGATAGCAGCACTGACTCGATATATCAGAAGGCCGCCACGAGTCACTGTAAAGGCTAAAAATGCATTCATTCACATCCAACGATGCTTGATGAAGTCGTATGCACGGCGCATCCCTAAGGGATTGATTAACGTCGAGGACTTCGCCCTTATTCGTTATATTGTTTGGTACATGACAATATTCTATAGAGTATAAGTGATGCGAAATTAGTGGTTACTTTCAACTGTGGAGCACCATATCATAGCGCTTATTAAATTTTGTTAGTTTAAATGAAAACTACTGTAGAATACTAAGAAAGAATATAAGAATAGAAGCTATAGATCATTACCTCTGAAATACAATAAGTCTTCTTATTCTGGCAAGAAGAAATTGTTGTCTTTTTGGAGCCCATGGCATATAGTTCTTCCCACTTTTGCTTCAACTCTTATATTTCGAACACAAAGCAAATCAACGTGGGAGTTTTCGTCCAACATGACACATCAGTGTTTCTCATTGAATCATTAAGAGCATTTGTCACTCTTAGTTCTGGGACTATAAATACTTCAATTTCGAGATAGTTTTTTTTGAAGATACTGTCCTTAAACATGCTTAAATTTCAAATGTAAATATGCCAGGTATGAGACTAATGCGATACAGCAACGTTTTTCCTATAAATCTGCTAAGTCCTGAAGTTTTGAAATGCCTTGCTGTTCGAGAAACTCGAGGTCCAAATCAGCTGGGGGCGTTATATGTTAGTTGTCTTTTATTGTCTTTCTCTTTAATAAGTGGAAAATTCTCATTCAGAGATGGGACGCGAGTCGATTATTCAACTGGACCAATTGTGTGGGGTGAACCTGGCACCAATGGTCAGCATGCGTTTTATCAACTCATTCACCAGGGCACTCGACTTATTCCATGTGATTTCATCGTTCCAGCTAAGACATTAAATCCTGTACGCAACGGATTGCATCACCAGGTGATGAGAATATTATGGTTGATAAGTTTCAAAACTATTAAAACTATTTAAAGACCATGCTGCAGTGACTTTTTTTTTCATTGGAGCCAGGTAGTTATACGTTTTCAGATTCTTCTCGCAAATTTCTTGGCGCAGACGGAAGCTCTAATGAAAGGCAAAACCCGTGAAGAGGCTGAGACCGAATTGAAAGCCTCGGGTGTACCTGCAGAGAAGATAGAGAAGATTCTTCCCCATAAGGTAGGAGACGATCCATGGACTTATCAAATTTACGCATATTGGCAACCATGTATTGTTCCAGATTTTCGAAGGCAACCGTCCGACAACGTCAATTGTTTTGCCAATAGTTTCGCCGTTCACTCTTGGTCTCCTAATCGCGCTTTACGAACACAAAATATTTGTTCAAGGAGTGATTTGGGACGTCAATAGCTATGATCAGTGGGGGTGAGGAAACCATTATTGTCGTTTTAGAATTCAATTAAAAACCTGTTTCAGTGTTGAACTGGGAAAGCAGTTGGCGAAAGTCATTCAACCAGAACTTAAGTCGCCCGGGAACGTTACGTCTCACGACGTTTCAACAAACGGTCTAATTAATTTCATTAAGTCCTTATGAGTTCTTTGTTATTGAGACTTTGTAATTGATTTGCGATTTACTGCTCTAGCATCACGAGGTTTATCATGCAGAAAATTTTGTTTATTAACTAGGTAGTAGGGTTTACTAGTGCTCAGAAACTATCCCAAGTCTCCTGTTACCGTACTTTAGTCTTAGCAGTTTTAAACTAGGGATATCATAGCACGACAAAAGCTTCACATAGACGATTTTTAGGTAGCATATGTGTACATTACTAGTTTTTTTGTTCACGTATATGTGTGCAGCCTGCTTTATGTGTGGTAAAGAACTTCATTACTATTTCTCGCTTTTTGTCATAACCGGTTACTTCCTCTACCTCTGCATTAACTTCGTCTGCTGCTGAGAGATTTTCATATTTGCACAGTATTTCATAGAATGGCGGGTTATGCACTCAAGAGACTGATGACGGAGTATAGAGGTTAGTACAGTAACCTGTAGATGTAACCAAATTCAGAACTAGAAGTAGCTGGATCGAGCGGTAACGTGTAATTCTTGACGAATATGTGAAGTAACTGGTGTGGAAACTTTACCGTCGTTTCTTCTGGCATTCATGTGGGAGAGGAATGGACTAACTCGAACTAATCTGGCCCAACTTTGTTACATAGTATCAAGCAGCAGACGGTGCATAGTTGCGTAACATCTGCGTCGACCTGTTCGTTGTGGTAGAGGATCCCTGTCATGTGTTTTAGGCATGGCACATGAATACCACAGAGAATGTGTAGTTTCGTTCTGGATTTAACTGACGGCTACTTTCTTTGCGGTAACTGGGTAGAACTTACGGTTACTTGGGTGCGTGCTCATGCTTCGCTGAAGGAAGCGATGACAGTTGAGGGCCATGATTTGGCGCGGAAATACTGTTCTAGCCAGCGTCACAGCTTGGCGGATAGGCGGGAAAACTAATGAGAAAATGCAATCGGGAAGATGGTTTCGTTCATCGTGTAGTTGATGTTGCCAATTTCCCATTTTATCTCAACAGAAAGTGCGGACACCGGCATTAATACTTATGGCCCGATGTGAGTTAGTCACTCACACAATGCGAAAATGAAGGCCGCTTTCAAATTCAAACCAGAATAGCTCATCTTGAGGTGAACTTCATTACTTTCAGTAAGAAGCCGTAGATTCTGCAATTGCTGACGTACAGGGTAAATATCCTCTTGCTTCACCACGATCGATTCCTTGTTCTCTGGTAGCTGCCAAGATGTTCCGTGCATTTTTTCTCGTTCAGGGTCTTATTTTGAAGATAACTGAGCAGCGGTTTTTTCGTTCACTAGAACACAATGATGTCACCAAATGCGTTGCTGCTGTTTATGACTGCCGGGATATCGCGTAAAGTTCGGAAAATTCAGATTTCGCTTCCATTTGTTTTGGAAAGTTTAATTCGAAAGAGATTTGAAAATTAAATTGCAGTTCTCAAGGGATGTAATTAGTTTTAAATAGATAGAGGGAAGTCTCGTCTATAAGCTGATCCCATTTTCAGCTTAAGTACTCTAGCTCTCGAAAAATTATCAGCGGTTTGCGAAAGACCAGCTTCGAATCCTAATTGTTAAAACCAGTATCCAGCACAACCCTTGTAAACCTAAGGTTTGGCTACCAGTAATCATTTGGCTTTATAGTAACAGGTTTACTCTTGCTGCATGTGTCCCACAACATCTTTGACTGTTTGGTTGCTTATTCTACATTTTTCATTTCTCCCTATAGGAACAATCAGTTGGAGTGTTCCATTTGAACTGGCCAATTTTTCCACAGTACAGCATGCTCTATATAAGCATTGACAACTTCAACGCAAAGTGAAAGTCTGGAGCAGCGTGTAGGTGCGCAGTCAATAAAATGAAGGGAGCCTGAAGAAAAGTCTTCAAATGTTAGCACGTAAGCCAATAATGCCTTACATTGCAAGTGAATCTCCGGAAAATACCACGACGAGGTCAATTACTTTATGTGTTCTCAAGCGCGGCTCTAATAGGCAATTGTCGATCGACCGATCGAAATACTCCGAGAACAGCTCGCTGATAATGTGTAGAAGGGAAAATAGAAGGCAACAGTATTGCATGAGAAAGGAAAAGTAAACGAGGTGAACTAAGATTACATCAATTTGAAGTCCTCGGCTTCTATTCGAATTTTACAAAGTGGCTGCACTGCGTAACAATCATTGCGTCCACAATAGAACGATGCAAATCAGCTGAGACTCAAGAGTCGTTTTCAGAACAGTGCACTAGGTAGCCGTACCAAAAATGGTGCTTGTCGGTTTCTCATAACTTCTTCTTCTCGAACTTTGATATGCTGTTATTTTAGCAGGGGATTGCGCAGCTCAGTAAGATTGGACTTAACTACCTGAAAGTCCGGTTTGTACGAATCAAATGTTTTAGTGCAGGAGAGGGGAAGCAGAATCACGGAGAAAGAGACTCTAGCAGCATGTGCAATCTGTTTTAGCCGACAGTATTACAGATATCCGAATTCTAACATTTCTCATACACTATCCATGAAAATGTTCGGACTTTTGTGGTTAGATTCGACTGCTGCTTGTGGATTTACGTCTTCGTTATGAATGTTATTGAGTCCTGGTCAAGATAATAGAATTGTCTCGACCGGGACTCAATAACAGTGCAAGGGAGTTCCTACGAGGATTGAAAGGAGTGAGTTGAACCCAGACAAGCTCGCTAGTAATTTCGCGACTCTGGAGGAAGGGAAGGCTTGGTGGACCCAGGGCAGGGTTGAACAAGCATGTTGTTCACAATGAAAGAAACCACTACCATTGTACTATCCACCTCTGGTATAAAGGAAACATTATTTTCTTTGGTGTGTTCTGCATGGTGTATCCATGTGATGTATTCAGAACACTGTGCACACATAAATCGATGGGAACTGTTTGTCTGCACTTTTTGTTAAGGATCGTTTTGTTTTCGTTATGGTAGTAAAATATTTCCCTTATATGAAATCTGAGTGCTACATACCGTTATTTAACTCTTGAGTGTGGAAAGAATACCGTGGTTTTACCACCTATGCTCGATCGATATTACCGATCGTTATGTGCCACCTCCTAGCAGACTTGGTTAGTAAACCAGAGTATGGAACATCTAATAACGCTAGTGATTGGTCGAACAGACGGGAAGAAACTGCGGAAGAACAAGTAAATGAACTCTGGCACAAGATATTAAGGGTCCGTTAACATTCGAGCAAAGGTAAAGCAGGTCATTTATCTGACAGAATCGAGTTCATAACAATAACTGCTTGCAGTTCCGAGTAAGCTGTAGTGATATAGATATGTATTATAACGTTGGTTGATTTAGAATTAACGAACCGACCGCCTGAGGGTATTCTGGCAGCGCCAATAGACGAAGATAACTTCTTCGAATGGGAGTGTTTGATTACTGGTCCAGAGGACACGTGTTTCGCGAACGGCGTATTCCCAGCTCGAATTTCATTTCCGCAAGACTATCCGCTCAGCCCGCCAAAAATGAGGTGAGCAATCTATGACGATTGTCCTTGTAAACTGCACCATTCACGAAATTATCCAAAATTGGTTTATTTTTGTCCTCTTTAGAGTCCGACTGTGTATTTGTATTTACCTTACATGTTTTAACTACATTGTAGGTTCACATGTGATCTCTTCCATCCTAATATCTACCAAGATGGGCGTGTTTGTATTTCAATCTTGCATGCACCTGGTGATGATCCAACCGGCTATGAAAGTTCGTCAGAGAGGTATGGAATGTGGCCATTGTATTTGTATTTGTAAATACCATGAGGCGTAGCACCCTATAGAACTAATTCTTCTAGGTGGAGCCCTGTGCAATCTATTGAGAAGATCTTACTTAGTGTCGTTAGTATGCTAGCTGGTATGTTTCTTACATGAGATTATGTCTAAGAATGCTCTCATGAAAATGTCTCTCATGCTTGTACAGAAAGGTGTCAGAAACGCACTATGCCATCGTATCACGTTTTTCTTCACAGAGCCAAACGATGAATCACCAGCAAATGTCAACGCTGCAAAGATGTGGCGTGAGGACCGCCTTCAATTTGAGAAGATTGCCGACAATCTTGTGCGGAAAACACTCTGTCTTCCTCAATCAGAATCGTAAACCGCCATCGGTACTAGCTAACGAGGTCTTTGAACTAGCAATCGTCACCAAAATAGCTCTGTCCACATGTTTATTTCATGCCAACATTCCTAAATAAATATTCATATACTGATTTACTAAACAGAACAGAGGAAGGTCCTCATCCTTCTCGTCCATAGTTCAGAAGCAGGAATGACATCTTCCTCTTAAAGTCTGCTGTGCTGATAACCATCGTAATTTTCAATACTTATGCAGATGCAGTGTGCACAGAACTAAATTCTTTTAAAGGATGGAAATATGGGTATTTGTGAAAATTCCTTCCAAAAAGTAAAAGTACGACGAAGAACAGTCCTGTGGGAGGACCGCAATTTTACGAATTAGTTTTCAGGAAAACGGACTTATTGTGTCAAATTTTTGAAGTGGATGTCGTCAAAGAATTTACTCTTACTTCTATCGAATAACAATGGAATAAACATCGATAGGTATTCTCAGTGAGTCCATAGCACCCGAAACACTAAGGAAGTTTGTTGGTTACGCATGTGCAGAACTGTCGCTCACTTCTAAAAAAATACATGTTCGCCATCATATGACTGTTGACCACCAACGACTAACCAAGGCTCCAAGAGCTCTCAATTTGCTTTTACATTGCTCCAATTCTTTCTGTGTTACAACAAGCTGAGAAGACAGTTCAGCTTCTGAGGTTCGAGTCTTGTCCAATTCGATTATTAATTTCGCTTTCTCAGTGACTGCAATGGAATTTCCCTAAGGTTGAAGGTACCCAATCTTGGGTTACATTACATCATGTATCTATGTAAGAATGAAAATGAGATGGAGTTTTCATAATCAATGACGTAAGAAGGATACCAACGTTCAGCATCCCGGAAGAGTTCAACCAATTTTCGGTACCGTGTTCTATATCTCTCTAGCTCAGCTTGCACAGACTGTGTCTCCTAAAGTGGAATGAACAATATTAACTTCTCCAAATAGCTCATCAACAGCTTACCTGTTTTGCTGTGGCCGCTTGGTCAAGAGCCTCAGCAAGTTTCTTCTTATAGAACTGGATAACCTCAGAATCGGTATTCTGTGAATGGTTTATGAGAACTTTCATGTGCACTTTCAACTCCGTAGAAGGACCGTGTTTCAAACTATAAACTACCTCTTCAAACTTAAAAGATGGCGAGTTTTGCTTTTGCGACTCATCACCGGTAGGACGCAATATCTTACCAACTGGGGGCGTATTTTGGTCACCCTAAACAACAAGACCCTAAATTATGAACGATGACATGGTGAACAAGTAGAACTAAGATGAACAGGCCTCCTTGTTCTCCAAATCCGAGCTCGTGTTTCTCTCCGGCTGTGCCAGACTAGAATTAACCATGGCTAACTGGGCACTTTCCCGCATAGCCTGTTTGAGATCCTGGAGAAAAATTTACAAGATAAAGAAGAAAGTCCGGTATGTTTTCCCTATATAGGCCGTTACATGCTACTATTACTTACGAACCACTCATTTATATTGAATTTACAACTAGTATTTTACCTTGCAATTTTATTTCATTCCAAGTGATAGAAGAATGAAGTTTACGGACCTAACCAATCCCCTAGTCATGCATAACACATTCTTGTATCACTCGTAATCTAGTCGAAAAAACGAATATAGTCAACAGCATGGGATAAACTCTGTTCCATGTCTCGCTCCTTCTGAATAGCCGAAGCCGAAGAATATGAATATGGTCAGCACCAAAGGATAAACTTTGTTCCGTCACGCTCCTTCCAAACAGCTTAAGCCTAAACCTCGCTCCTTCTAAATAGCTTACGCCGAAGCATATGAATATGGTCAGCAGCAAGGAAAAAACTGGTATAAAAAGTTTGATTGAAAAGTACGCTCTGAACAGCAAACACATCCACGTTCCATCCTCTATTACTCCCACGTTTCCACTTCCACGAATCTAACCGGTAAATATGTAAATAGACACCAATAAAATCGCTAATAAGATGTGTGTTGGGTGCTCAGACGATGTTAACGGCATCCATTTCTATCAAACAAAGACTGAAATGTGAACCTTTTTGCATACCTCGCGATATTTCTGTTCAGCAAGATAGTGGTCATCAGCTCCTTGGACGATCAGTCCAGTTGCCCCATCGACGACCTAAACGGAAACATGGACATGAAACAAAATGTGGTTTTCCACATGACAACGCACTTTCTCCCTATTTGCCTTTTTTGCTTTAGGACGTTTTTGGACAGCGTGCACAATCAGCTGCCCACCGCTCTTCGGTTGCTTTATCCCCATAGATTTTGATCTGAAAATAGTAAGGAACTATAAGAGATCTTAAGAGAAAACGCAACTATACAGCTAGTAAACGGACTAACGTACCTACAAGAATTATTCGTTTTCGATGAGCATTTGCTTCCTCCGACGACTGTGAACTCCTCGTCGGAATCGTCACCGATGTAGAGACATGCAAATTTGGAACGCGACTCCATCTCTGCTCAACCGATTGATAGTACCTGCTAAATATGACTGATTTTACATAAACCTGTAAAAAAGAAATCACGCAAGAGGGATCACACGGATGTTCTTCCGACAGAGTCGAGTTTTCGAATGAAACAAGCCAGCAGACACGGACCAAAGCACGGATCTGCAAGGTGTCCCGAAAAACTGTCTCCACTCTCCATGTGGAACAATCGGGCAAAGACACAAGAGCGCTTAGCGATGCCGTCGACCCACAAACGCACTTCAGGCGCAACTTTTCAGCGCCGTAATTATAGGTCGCATTGATTTGTGGTCCTGAGCGGATTTCGCGCCAGGTAGGACTGAGTATCTTATTGGAGATCGTGGTTGTTGCTGTTCTTAGTACATTCTATTGTTCCTTCGAACTGAGTATCCTATTGAAAGTTGTGGTTGGTGTTATTCGCAGTACATTATGTTTTTCGTTTTGAGTTTGGTATACTCAGCCTTTGTAAAGTTTGGTGTGCGATTTACCTATGAGAAACAGTCGCTTCGACGACTTGGTCTTCCAGTTGCATGGACAGTAACTCTTTCAGTGTTTTCAGGTAGAATGGTGAAGGGCAAACAAGATCGAAAGGCTCGAAATGCCATCAACGAAGTGGTGACTCGTGAGTACACGATTCACATGCATAAGAGGATCAAGGGCGTGTGGGTGATTTAGTGTCCGTTTGCTGCCTATATTGTGTTTTCGTGAATGCTTTTTAGTGGTTCGAAGAAGCGTGCTCCTCGCGCAATCGATGAGATCCGAAAGTTTGCTAAACAGCAAATGAATACTGAAGATGTCCGCATCGATACCAGGCTGAACAAGTTCATTTGGTCCAAGGGAATCAAGTGAGTGAAAATTGCTTCATATTTTTTAATCTTCATAGACTCTACTTTTTACCATATGGCTAAAAGTCACTAACTACGAGTTATTTTTCTTTATGTTGTGTGCCTATTTTTGACTATTTTTTGCCCCTTCTTAAATGTTTGGATTGGTCTTTCTTTATTTCACGTTGTTTCTTTTTTTTTCATTCGGCATCCCTGAAGGTAAGGTCGTGTAAACGTTACGATACGTGACGGTGATCGATTTCTTTCGCGGCGAAGTTAACAATAGGCGGTAATCTCCAGTAATACAGCAAGAGAGGAGTTGGAAACTTTCCGAACACAAGGAACAGAGTTTGTTATGTCGCCTGAGGGGTGCGTAGGGGTATGTACGAATATATATATATATACTTAAGTACACGCACATATACAGAATTTCTTCCTCGTTAGATCAACGTCACTTGTGGCACTATGCGGATCTCAGCATTTTTTGAATTCGATTTGTTTCGTCGCACTCATTATCCATGAAAGATCCCCAATTTCTTTCTTCCATATGGGTTTGACAACTACTTGAGGACTTTTTTCGTTATCGTCGCGAATGTTATTTAATGCTAGTCTAGTTAATTCCGTTTAGAATCCCGAGGTAGCCCTGCTTGTGTATGCTCACATATGCATATGTATATGAGTGCACACATAAAGAATGGAAGGCAGAGTTTGAGTTTCTGAAATTCCCATTCGGACACTGCAGTCGCAAATATTAGTGGTATTTTTGGAGACACCATCATGCCCTTTTACACGAAATTCCACTTGTCGACCTGCAAACATATCTTCAGTGCAAATCAGGACACAGAAAAAACTTCGAGATATGTTTGACGTGTTTTAGAATATCGGGATTTTAGGGTGATAGAACAAGAGGACTTCTTATTATACGCAAATTTCTTAGATTTTAGCAGTGTTTCTTGCAACCATTAAAACTCACTGTCTGCTGAGATTATCCGAAATTGAAAGTGGCCCTTACTTCTCGAATAACTCCTGAAGAGGTATCGTCATTGCGTGAGTGCTTAATGAAGTAACCAGAAGCTATCGCTATGGGAAATTTTCGCGCAATTCGTTTTCGAAAATGCTGTTTAACGATTTTCATAGACTTCTTGTGGTCTTATTTTCTCCATATCGTCATATTGTTCCAAGTATTCGTTTTTCTTCTGTTCCCTTCGTTTGAATGGATAGGTAAGATGTTGAAATACTATGTTACTTGTACTCGTTTTTTCTTTTTATTATACGGATAGGTGTTACAGCCAAAGCTTTAAGGTTGTCAATGATGAATCCCTGAAGGATGTCTCCGTCATAATTGAATTAGAAACTATTGGAAGCTACAGACGTAGGCCATAAAATTTCAAGTTTTGTATTACTGCTGTGAAGATCTGTTTCTTGAAATCAATTTTATTTCATTTTGATTTTCTTGTTAATCGTCGATGTTGGAATTTCGCTGAGGTGATTTAACAAACGGAATTTAGCCCAACAGGACACAGTGATCTCTTCCCGAATGGTTCGCCGAGCACATAGTTGCTGCGCTTGCGCTGAAATTGTTTGAAAAATTGACTTTTTCTTAAGGATTGGGGTTTAAAAATTAGGATGTGTTATTGAGTTGTGGACTTTTAGAAAATCTGGGTTAGAATTGTGAACGATCGTCAGTCATGATAAAGGATAAAGAAGGATAAAGCTTTCGGCGTTGATCAATCCCTGAGAGATGCGCCATGCATTAGACATCGTTAGCATCGTAGGAGGTGATCGAATGCATATCTGGCGTATACAGTGACTTGCGGTGGTCTAGCGATGTATCGTGCCAATGCTGCTCTCCTCCTAGACAAGTCTGGTATCAATTTAGCGTCCCCGAAGGGATGGAAAGCTTGGCGAGCCGTGGGCGCTGGGGTCGATCCCATGTGTATTGCAGGGCGCCACACGCGACCTTCAGTCATGATACTTCTAGAAAATTTATGTGTAGCATTGGAGGGATAGATCGCGGAGTTTTGAAAGTTGGTGGACCTAAAGTCCTCGAATGCTATGCTAATGGAGCATTGTCGAAAAATACAGGCGTTGTCTCAGAGAAAAGTAGTGACTGGGAAATAGAAGTTTTGCGAGAGTGACGTGACGACTTATTTATTGTAACAACAAATTCTTCTGTATAGTTCACCTAGAAATTGCAACTATGTGGTTGCTTTAAGAGTCCCGTAATTTTAACTCAGTATGAAATAGCGTAATCGGTTGACCAGAAATACAAACCGCTGCCAGTGTGAGATTTGCTTCTATTAAGGCTTAGTAAAAACCAGCCTCCTACGCTTATCTCTTGGCCAATGCAAACTTGCACTTTCTATTCAGGAATGTACCATTCCGTGTGCGTGTTCGATTGTCACGGCGTCGTAATGAAGATGAGGATTCAATACACAAACTCTACACTTTATGCACATTTGTTCCGTGCACCAATTTCAAAGGCCTAACAAACGTGAACGTTGACAGTGAAGAATAGCGTTGTGTTGTTGATAATAAATTGTTGTGTTTTCTTCCGTGGATTGCAATCATATGTGGATTTAATCCTCATTATACTGCCAAGCAATGTCTGACAGCAGGTGCTGCTGTTTTCATAGTGAACGAAGCTTCAAACATTCACAGTTGTCTGGAAGTGTAGATATTATGTTATGAGATGATAAAGTTTTTTGTGTTTCTTCTTGAGAACCCCATGATAAGCGAGCGTTTAATAGGCATTTCTTGTTCGCTATTCTTTGCGCAGTGGTACATCAAAAGACGTCATTATGTTCATTTTTTCCAACTGAGTTCCTCTCAATGATTTACTGCCTCGTCGTGGCTGGGAGGTATTCGTGGGACTCGGGGTGCGATGTAAAGCGGGAATTCATGTCCCTAGTAGGAGCTTCCATGCTGGGAAAGATTCCAGCGTTTTGATCAGGAAGCCAAGCTAAGAGTAAACGAATATCGTGGTCGACCACCGTGCTAGTACCAAACCAGTCGCGTGGCGGCAAATGTCCCTCTTATCCACAAGGCCGATGACTGCCTATGGAGCTGACTACCGGGGACAAACTTTGGATAGACTGAAGTCAGGACTTCGAGGAACTACGTTAGCTAAACCAGCAAATGTCCGAAGGAACGGAAATTGTGCTGGGGCACGCACAACCAGTGGATGGACTGTCCAAGTATCCAAATAAATAAGAGTTTCTCTCTGCATGGTGCTCTGAAACTTAAACTGGATATGGTTTTACGTGAGAGCTTACTAGATGGTTCTTTACATATTTAATTCGTTCGTTAGTCGAGGCGCTGCCTTACATTAAATATGAAGTCGCAGATTTGGTGTCTTGAAGTGCATTATTGCTTGTAGTGAGCAGAAGATTAATAGTTATCATTCCTATCGATAAGTAAGAAATATTCGACAGAATCGCAAAGAGATTCGCCATATATTCAACTTGACTTAATTCTGCGTTGTGGAGGTGATTGAATGCACGTGTGGATTATACAGTAGTTTTAGGTGGCTTGCTGATGAATTCCGTGTTTTTGTCCTCCCAGACAAGTCTAGTACCAATCTGTTGGGACCGGTCTTATGGAGGACTTAGTGGGTCCGCGGTGTGGAGTCGAAACCGACCGATTCCCGTGTGTATTATGTAGAACATCTAACCACTTGACTACACGCGAACTGTATGAAGTATTTACTGAACAGCTTTCTTTACCAACGCTAGGACAACGTGGTGATTTGATGGATGCTTTTGCGGAATACTATACATTCATAATGATCAACTAGAGGAATGTGAATGGGAGAGAGAACGAGTGATTTGTTGAGATGCACAGGCTTCTTTGTGGGAACTGTATCAGTTTGTTCTCTGCTATGCTGAGATGATTCGCTGTGTAATTAGAGTATTCGATGAATGATAACAACATGCGAAAATGTGTGGATTTCCTGTTCCAATAGGAACTTTCAGTTTTAAATTATGGGCGCAGGATGAAGCTGTTTTCTTCTATCACAGCTTATATTGTTGAGGATGATGGCCATCGTCTTATCTGCTCAAGGTTGGATGGGAGACTCTCTGTAGCTGCAGAACAGGGTGGGTCCACTACGATTTTGGTAGTTTTACTACAGAGAAGTGTTCTCATCACTAAAGCTTTATTGAAATTCAGTTTAGTGGTTGTTTTTCTCCATCTTCTCATTTATTGTTGAGGTTAGCTACACTAACTGTGATATTTAGATTATTATTTAGGTATTGCATAGATTGCCTCCCAACGGTTTACCGCCTCATCGTGTCTGGGAGGTGTTCCTGGGTGTCGGACTGCGATGTACAGCGGGAAGATTCATCCACCCGGCAGGATCTCCCAATCTGAGAAGAAGTCTGGCGTTTCCATCAAGAAACCTAGCCAAGAGTAAACCAATCCCGAGATATAACACCGGTTTAGGGTTAAGTCAGATGTATCGTCATGGTATCCAACTGGTTGCATAGTGACAAATCTCTCTCTGATCCACAAGGGCCGCGACCATCCGTGGTGGTGACGATCTGGGCAAACTTTGGCTAGGCTGACCTTGGAACTCCAGGGAACCACAATAGCTAAGCCAGCAAAGCTCCGAAAAATTGAAAATTATGCTTGGGCCCGCACAAACAGTGAAGAAGAGTCATCCAAGTATACAAATATTGAAGATTATATGGAGATATCAGGGTTAAGTCAGATTTATTTTAGTGTTATGACGTAATTGCATTGAAACTTTAGAGAAGGTATTCAGTAGGTTTGGATTTTGGTTATCTGTTTACAGAGGCTCCTCTGGATGCGGAAGAAATATGCGATGTTATCGCAGTGCTTGGACGGATTGATCTCGAAGGCGTGAACTACTTGCTTTTCGTCAGCGAGTCTACTGTTGTCGCCGAATTTAACGAGCATAATGTAGGTATACGAAGAGTTAGAGTGTTAAAGCCATTGTGGTCACGAATGTTACAGTGCTACTGTTTTCAGAACAAGCATGCGATACACCGTATCGACAAAGTAAAAGCTCTCCCTTTAGACTCTGAAGATGTAGGTGCTTCTGCGTCCGTATCTGCCACATCTATAGATTCTTCGAGCCATTGTTTGAAGCATGGAACAGGAAGACTGATAAAATTCGTGCAAGACAAAATTGGTATGTCTAAAATGTACATGGTAATTCAACAAACATTTTTTTTCAATTACAGCTACTTCCTCATGCTTAGATGCCATCTGTATATCGAACGGATTTCAGTTTCAGGCAATGCACCCAAACAGTTTTCCATGCTTGATGAAATTCTTCGCCTCTTCAATGAACGTCCGAGCTTTTACTTCTGCCTCAGTCGCGATATCACGCATTGTACGTATAGGTGCGGTCTGATATTTAATTAGACTAGTTCATGTGTTCTGTGATACCATCTTAAACCACCTTAAAAACACTTGTGTTTCCTACTTTCCATCATTTAGGCGTTTTTCGTCGCAACAAACTGGTCCTGATGAGAGGTTCTTTTGGAATAAATTGTTGCTAAAGGATCTGCTTGAAGACGGTGTTGATAAAAAACTAGCAGCCAGATGGTAAGTGCTTGGTTGACTTTCTTCAAAGCTTCCCTTTACAATGTATTAGTTGGAGCGAAATGAAAAGGAGGTTTTCTACCACAAATTTGAAAAATTGCAAATTATCTCGAACAGAGTATTGTTTTTCAAAATAAAAGCAGTTAGAATCTACTTGTTTTTGAGTGGCAGTATACGGGTCTGTTTATTCCAATACCTGAGAATAAACTTCTACAAGTAAGAAATCACTTACTTGGATGGCGCGTCTTCGTGCCTCAGGACATTTTCCATCCATTTCTTTCCCGCACAAAATCGTCGTGCATGTTGTTGATCTCCTTCAAACATAGTAACGACGACGAAACTCATCCCATAGTTCTAAAATCATCACTACCTGCAAATACAGATTTTTGACTTCAGTCACGAACACATCCGCCTATTGTTTGAGTAGTCGTCCAAGAGGACGTTTTCTCATAGAGTCCACTCTACTGGTGTTTTCGTCTCTCTGTAATCCGTTCTTCTTGTTATTGGACTGGCCCATCTGTGCTCAGTTATTGATGTGTATTCTCCTTTACCTCGATTTTGAGTCTGGAGACCTGAGCTGCGCATTCTGGCTAGACGTTGTCACTGCCGCTTGAGTTGCAGAAGGCGTTGTTCAAATGTTCTGTAGGTGGTGCGCAGATTTCTCGACATGGGTGAAATGTCAGCCCACTTCTCAGCTGCATAACACAGTGCTGAGAGAACTGTTATGTTGAAAAGGTGGTACGAGGTGGTCTCCGTGTTCTGAAAGCCTTCCAGTTCTATTTGTTCGCCTTCGCACCGTGGGTTCTTTGTGACGAGTTAACAGCAAAATGAAAAGTAAAACTACAGTAGTGCTGCATATTGATATCTTTTACGTTTTATCAAATTTTCCTCCGGCAAAGCTTATTGTTCATGGATGGTATTAATGACGTTTTCTCCGATTGCTCACAGTGCGCACTTTAATTGGGACGCTGTTTTCTCCCACGATGATTTATGGGACATGATTTATGGTTCAACTGCTGATTGCTTAGAATTTGAGGATGTCGACTGTGATGTGATTGAGCTCATGTGGTCGAGCGAGGTTAGTTCTCGAGGAACAATTCTCTGATACGGGTGGTCTAGTTGACTGTCGTCTCCTTGACTGGATAGCATGTATTTTTCAATTCATCGATAACTATTTGCACTTCACGGACGTTTCAATGCTAAGCAGGCGGTGAGCTGGGTCTCTGTTCTGTTTATACGCAGTCCAATATTTTTTTCCCGCTTCATTGAGCTTCCTTGGTCTCTAATTCATTGGTACTTCTTCAAAAGGTGACTATGTAATCGACGAAACGAAAATAGGAATTTTCCATGAGTAAGCGCATACCCTTCTCGTCCAAAGTGAGTGACTCCAGTCACCATGCCGTGGAAAAACAATGGGCAGTAGACAAAAAGTTATACATTGTGATTTCGATTATAGCCTCAGCTTAACTGGGTTTAATGCCGACTTGTGCTCCCCAGATCACTACCGTTAACGGATGATTGCTGATGACACCGTTAGGATAAAAACTTTCAGAGTGATAGTCAGAACAAAGGCCTCAGCGGTGCAGTGGGGAACACATGAGCTCTTAAAAAGGTTGATCGCGGTCCGATCTGGGTGGCGTCCACATTTTGTAGAAATCTCAGCATCTAGTTGTATCTCACGTAATACCCTCTATCTATTGCTCCAAATTTTCTTATTCTGTATTCATTTTCGTTGGCCGTTGCTAATCTGGCATTGAGGTCTCTATTAACGACTTTATGGGAGGACTTCTCGTTTTGCGGATTGCTTCCTCCAACTGGTTGTGTGATGCGTCCAGTTCATTCTCGTCAGCTGCGCAAGTTGCTGAGCGGCAGCTGATGATATCCATTTTCTTCTAATTCGGAGGTTCGAGACTATGTTTGATCAATTGAGAGGATAAGACTTGGTTTGTCTTACCATCCAACTTCGTAGACGACTCCCAGCGTATGGAGTGCTGTGGCTAAAGTTCCGCTGGTTTAGCCACTGTCGCTACCTGGAGTCCCTAGGCTAGTCTAATCGAAGTCTTCCTCAGGTCGTTACCACCTTAAAAAGTTGCCTCCCTTGTGGATGAATGCGAAGGTTGCCACCTTGGAACAATCTAAATACAAGGACGACGGTGATATAAAGTAATAATAATGGTGAAGTAATCGTCGAGTAACAAATTATTTGGTGGTATCTTTAGCATGGTGTGGCGCAGTGGTTGGAGGCACCACTACGACACACACGTGGAATCGGTCTCCGCGTCTATGGCCCACCAAGCTTTTCATCTCTCCGGGGTCGGCAAATTGGTACTAGATTTGTCTGAGAGGATAGCAACACTGGCTTAATACATCGGTCGGCCACCACAAATCTTTGTAAAGGCCAGATATGTATTCAGTCACCTCCAACGATACTTCATGAGGTCGATGTGCTGGGTGGGCGTTTTATAGCAAAACTTGCTCAGTTTCATCAGCGTTACCGTTCAATGTGTTATTGTGCATAAATAAAGGACCTTTTTCTTTAAACCTATTCTGAATAGGTGTGTTATAATATCCATAAAATTTAATCGACCAGTGGGAGGACTTCTTTGCAGTGATCGTTTTGCTTGGATTAAAGATGTTTTAATGTTTTTTTACTTATTTGTCGATAGATGGTTGGATCGGTCGAAAATGGAAAAATCGTTCCAGCAACTTTTTGATGAAAACTCGGGTTTAGAAAGTGTTTAGAAGTCCCGACGAGTCTCAGGTTGTCTGCTGAAGCTCGTCGGTTGTCATGTAAGAAACGTTCTTCGTGAACGATCGCAGTTCAAACGAGAAATTTATTGTTTTTGCTACGTAACAGTACAAACTTCGTGGTGATAACCTCGCTGCCATTCGTTCAGTTATTATAATACTAAAATGATGCTGGGATATTTGCAAAACTTGGACCCCAAGCTAGATCGAAGCGCGATTACCTTTCCTCGGAAAGGGTAGTCACGGGTTCGAATCTGGACTGTGGTTCAAGTTTTGCAAATATCTTGGGCATTAGGTAAAAGTTATACATAATTATGGTACTCATTTGTTTAGCCTTTCAGCTTTCCGGTTTCTTCCATACTTGTATTAGTTTTGGGGGGGGGGGGGGGGGGTAACTTTGATTATCGGCTTTTTTGGTCATGGAAACGCAGATTTTCGATACAAAACCACAGGAACCATCATCGCACTGTGCATTTAGAAGCCCATTTGCTGAGCTATGCTTTAGTAATACTTCCACTTGCTTCCATTGCCTAAATGGCGCGTGTGGCGCAGTGGTCGGAGGCGCCCTGCAACGCGCACGTGGAATCGTTCCCGTCCCCTAGCCGGCCTAGCCTTCCATCCTTCCGGGGTGGGAAAATTGGTACCAGACTTGTCTGGAAGGATAGCAACACTGGCGTGATACATCGGTAGGCCACCGCAAATCATTGTAAAGGCCAGATGTGCATTTAATCACCTCCAAACTACGCTTAATGAAGTCGAGTGCTTGGAGCATCCTTCAGGGATTGGTCAGTGCCGAGAGCTTTATCCTTTATTTTTTTATCCTCGCCTCATATAAAACAAAACTATGCTGTTCTTGTGAGTCTAGCGAACCTAAAACCATTTCAAAATAAATGCGAGCATTAATTCTCATATACCAAAATGTTAAGGCGGAAAGAAACTTTAAAATAATCTAAGAAAGAAATCTAGGCAGTGGACATTTATTACATAACGTATTTGTACGGTTCTTGTTGCGAAAATTCGGAATCATTCTTGCACCAGTAAGTAGTTTCTTCCTGTTTTTAGGATTATTCCTATTATGCAAGGGAAAATCTCTTTTGGTAGTTTGGCAATCGTGGATGGTTCTCAAGTGAACTCCTCACTCAACATACTACTTGTTTCTCGACGATCAGTTTATCGCGCTGGGATGAGATATTTAAGGAGGTGAGTCTTCGATGATGGATCTGATCACTTAGAATATCTAGACTATATTCCACTATTTCGAATTTGAAAGACTGCCTATTCAAAATATTTACTTGGAAATTGTCATTGCTTTCGAAAAATTTGGAAATAATTTACCCATCTACAGATACGGTTTTCTAATTTTAAGAGGAATCGATTGCGAGTCTAATGTGGCCAACTTTGTTGAGACTGAGCTAATTCTTAATATATTTGATCACCATCTATCGTTTGTTCAGGTTATTTTTATTGTTTTTAATAGCTGATCATTTATGATCAATTGTTTTACTGACTTACACAGTTTCGTAAATAGGTGCGTGGGTCTGTGCCTATTTTTTGGAGTCAGAAAGGTTTCAAATACCGTCCTCCCTTGTCGATCGATAGAAATATCGAGGAAAGTTTGCCTTACTTCACAACTCACATGGAAGACCTGTTGCATAGATACGGACCACCATTAGTGGCAGTAAGTCTTGTGGATCAAACTGGTAGAGAACTACAACTAGCAGCTAACTTTGTCGAAGTGGGTGATCTCGTTCTCTTTAGTGTTTTCTTCAGTGCTATTCCACTATCCGTCAAATTGTTTAGCATTCGGCAAGGATGGACTGCTCTGATTTGTACCTTGTCTCATTCGATCTTCATCAGCATTGCAAGGGACTCAATTTTGACAAGGTCTGTTAGGGTGCTCTTCTTAGAGGTTTTTTGTAGGTAATGAATTTTTAATCGTTTATTTTAGATCGGCGACTTGATTGTTAACATGGAGAGCCTGTTAGAACAAATTGGTTACTGTTGGGTTGATAAAACAGGTAGTTTTCCTATTTTTCTGAATCTTTATATACTGGCCCTGTCGACAATCAAGTAAATTAGGTGAGATTGTCAAAACTCAGCGTGGTGTGATTCGTACCAATTGTGTGGACTGTCTTGATCGTACCAATCTTGTTCAGGCAAGTCAGTCACTTCATAAAGATTGTATTCTATTTTAGACTTCAGTCTCTGTATAGCCCAACACCTTTAACACATTCACGACGATATGCATTCATTTAGATGCATATGCTTTCCAGAATGATTCTACCTAACTTCAAAAAACCACTAATACAGAGCTTATGAACACTATTAAAATCGCTTGACCTTTGGTAACAAGATAATTTTTGTTCGACGGCGGTGTAGAGTGGTTTTCACAAATTCATCGTTGCTCTTTGCAACTGCCGTGCTCGGTTAGCTATTTTAAAAGGAAAATTTCGACGTCTCCTTTTGCAAATTTGAATTCGAAGTAGTTAAAATGGGATGATATTTCAGAGAAATTGTCTCTATTCTGAGAACGATAGTCTTAAGATTCTATAAGGCTGCTAAATCCTTAGTCTTTGGTAGTCTAGCCATTAAAAAGATATTCATTTATCGGAAGACAAGCATCGTAGCGAATATGTTGTTTCTATATAAGGATGACTAAGAAGTCGTGAATAAAAAAATACGTTCTACTTTTATAGGGAGCCATATCACAGTGGGTTTGCATGCGCCAAGCACAACGCTTAGGATTGTTTGGCCCTCTGTGTGATCCGCCAGAGACTTTAGTGACCCTTCTTCAAAACATGTGGGCAGATAATGGCGACGCAATATCTACTCAGGTTAATTTAAAACTTGAATATCTGGGTAGTTTAATGTGAATCGAGTTCTATTGGGACGAATTCTGGTACAGGTACTTTGGAACTGCTTAGTACATCTTAGTATATAAGGGTACTCTGACCTGATGTATGAAATACTTCTTTCGAAGATCTGGACTGAGCGCAAGCATATTTTACATATGTTTGGCCCAAAATATAAGCTTATTGGGATCTAGTTTGTTGATCGCGAAATGATGAGGCGTTTGGTTTCAGTACGCCGGAACTGCGGCGCTGAAAGGAGATGTCACAAGAAGTGGTGAACGGTGTCTAGCTGGCATTGTGCGAGATGGTTATAACAGTGCATCTCGCTACTACCTTTCTCATATGAGAGATTCATCGCGACAGAAAGCAATCAACGCGCTTCTGGGGTACAAAGATCAAGGTTATCCAGACCTCGGAGACTCTGTGATGTGAAAATATTGTAGAAAAAGAATCTCTTATTTAGGTTCAGAGTCCATGGTGGAATCAGATTCAGATTCTGAAGAAGACGAGAATATCTGTAGGCTAGCAGCCGAGACGGTTAACTTTCTTCTCCCCGTTGGAGAAATTGTTGTTGGTATGTGTAAGTATTCTAGACATTAACCGTTTCTTGTTGTTACTTACCCATTCCTATGTACAAGGGATATGATTTCGACAGGTGCTTGGGCATTATGTAATTTGGAACAAGATGCGGAAACGATCGATACGATTTTGATTCTTACCAGGTTATGTCCATCTGTTTTTAAGCGTGTGATATGCAATGTCAAACTTTGTAATTTAGAACGAAGATTTACGTAGCTGTTTATGATGACGACTTTGAAAAGCTCATTGCCGTTAGCATTCTTCCGCTTGACGATATCAGCTCTATTGAGGTGAATGGTGAATGTGTGTCTTCACTCGCAGATATTAATACTCTTCCTTAGGTTGGTAAATCAGGCCGCTCGTCATGTGTTTACCTACGAGTGACGTGCAACGATAATACCTGGACGTGGCGTGCAGGACGAACACGTCTATTCAATAATGTTGCAATTCGTTTGAAAACTCCCGATGAAGCTAATGAATATACAGAATCTATAGCTGAGCAGGTGTGATATCTCCTTTTTAGTTTCCAATTCACTTTTCTGCCTGCAACTCGTTTTCTTCCTTTAGAATTCGTTTATATTTTCCGCTTCTCCTTTATTTATCTCTGCATTCTTAACCTTTTTATTAATAGCCTACTCTTTTTAACAGCAGGGTATTTTGCGAAATATAACTTCTATGGTGCTGAGATATAACTACTATATAGTAGTTATCTCTGCATTGTTTCCATTGATATACCATTTCGAAGGAAATGCAGACAGAACTAGTTAAGAATTCTAAGCTAAAAATTCCAGATAAGCATCACCATAAATTTGTGCCTTGCACGGGTCGTTCCTGTACAACGAGTTGAGAAGCTTTCGCTCTCCCGATCCAGAAACACGGCTAAGTAAATTCTATTTACCTTATAGATTTGTATATTCAAAATCCTTCAAATTTTTTTTGATATTGTGCTACTTATGTAATGTTACGAATTTTAGGAAAGCTATCGCATCAGTTACAGCGGCTCTAAAAACGCGTAGTCGTAAACCGCCTTTTCAACATAAGCACAATATTCGCAATATAGGTAGCTAATTACCGAATTGACTTCACTTTTTATTTAAGGAAAATTTAGACAAAAACGACCATCAACCGATGGATAAGGAGCCACAGCCTGAGTTCGACACTGATTCCGTGGATCCAGTTGACAGTTATACTTCTCGGGAGGACGCTATAGATTTCCGAGATGATATGAATCGAGACACTGCATCCACAGCTCCGCCAATGGTTCTCTGAATGGGTTTAAAAAATACACTACTTATAGCCATTACACACAGGTCCACATTGCAGATCAAGTCTCCTTTCAGATGTACATCTCTCCATCTGATGGATGCCTCGCAACGCAATCGAAGGAGTCGACCATTTCTCCACCTGGAGGATTTATCGGTTGTATTCGACGGCTCAAAGCTCCATTCACACGGTCGAACTATCCAAGCACCGTTACATCAGGTCCCTTCGAGAACCTCAACGAGCTTTTGGCCACTTCTCGAACTAATTTCGTCCTGCTTTGAACTAGTGGGAACAGCTGTCAGGATTAGAATTTGCACGTCACACTTCATCTGCCCCAAAATGGTCGTCTTTATCTAGAACGGATGTCGGCTGATTGAATAGTGGATGCAGTCATAATGAACAATATAAAATATATTTACACAGTCTTCAGCATAGACCGTTTGGTGTCTTGGTTGTATAAAGTAAACGTACCAAGTTTCATAATAATAGCTCTATATCTGTGATACCACCTCCTTACCCGTTTCTGGATAGTTTATAGCCGTGTAAATGTAGTAACATTATGGAATAAGAATATCTTTCTGAAATAGGTATACAGTAGATGTCCCGAGTTATACTGCCACACATCCAAATATATGGTCTGCATAGGTCACTGCAGTGTGTATGAAGCAAACATGGAGTGAAAATGAATCCCCAAGAAGAAAAATACTTTATACGTGTTTCTCTCGAGAAGTCAGACCAGAGCGAGTAAAAACCACCTATGGCTAAACATGAAAGAATAAGAACTGATCCGACCGCAGAGAGAGAATGAGGCGCACCGAAACTAAATTATGTACTAAACACTTGACGAGGTCAAACAACAAATGTACGAGATTACAAAGTGGATTAGTGCAACTACTTATCGGAGCCAGAACTTAGAACGGAAAAGTGGAACTAATAGTGATTAAAGGTGATCTATGAATGTTCCTGTCTAAAGTGGGATACCAACCTCTGCAATATGCACATCTACTTCCATCTCTTGTTTTCATAGTCGTAGTATTTTGGCGCTCCCAAGAAATTGCCCTAAAAGTTTACTCATGCATCATAGCAGGACTTTCTCTTGATTAATCAAAGAAGCCATTTTACACGTACGACATAAGCACGATACCTTTTCAAGAACGAGTGCCCTCTTGACCTGTGCCTCTTTATATTCATCTTGGAAGGTTCCTGGGATCTCAGGGAACACTAGAAATTTTACCACTATGAACGAAGTGAACAAACCAAGCACTGGGTAACGATTTGAACTGACATACCATAGACGCTTATGAAGACAGCGTATAATGTTGCAAGAGAAAAGACAGAGAAGAAACAAGCCAATATGACCTAAATAATAAGCATATCGATATTAAATAAAAACCAACATACAGCAGCTGACAGATTCGTTCCCGATAAGAATGAAGGTTTGCACCAATGAAGACAACTATAATAAGATACTTAAAGCAGTAAATATCCGCACCTTCCAATACCCAGTCGGTGCTTCAAACTCAGCCAATGTCTGCTTGAAACTGTAGCGATACACTAAAGAAGCAAATTCTCATTGACAATTCAAAGGAGATTACACTCAAATCTAGGCGATAACAATCTAAAATACGAACCTGAAACGGCCCTGAAAATAGAACGAAAAACCGCATAGTAACGCTAAGATTTGTCTCCTCCAGTGTATTAAGCAGTAAAAGAATAAGTGAAAGGATAAAGCTCTCTGCGCTGATCAATCCCCAAAGGATGCGCATGCATTTGACTTAAGCATCGTGGGAGGTGACTGAATGCATGTCTGGCTTTTACAATGAGTCACGGTGGTCTACCGATATATCGAACGGGTGCTGCTATTGCCGATCCCGGAGGGATAGAAGGCTTGTTGGGCCGGGGGCGCGTGGATCGATCCTATGCCTTTTGCAGGGCGACGCTAAGCACTGTGCTACACGCGCCCTCATTAAGCCGTCGATCCAACTAATGAAAATAAAGGAACCAAGTTTACTGGGATGAATTAGAAATCATCCACAGCAATTACTAAACGGCACGTCAAGAAGTATGTTACGAGGTGAAATGCTAAAAACAGTAAAATTCCTTAAAAGTTGTTACTCTCTATAACTAACCGTTTAATGAAGCAATTTAGAAACTCTAATGATTCAGAGCATAACAGAACTGGGAGTGGGAAGAAAAAAAAAGAAAAATAAATGATAGAATTGATTAGTCAGAAACTGACGTCAGCCTACGGCATAACAGAGACCAATATGTTCAGAAAATCTCGGCTTACGAGACCACATGGTGGGGAGGTATAAGTATGCTTTATAACACAGAATTAGAATTTAAGTTCGAAAGATCTACTTCTTTATGAGCACATTAACAAGGAACCCAATCTCTCAGTCACAAATAACACATGGATTCATGCTTTTGTTACAGAAATCCTTGGTATTAGAACTGAATCGGAAAAAGAACACTTACAGAGCTTTTTATCTTCAAGGGAAAGGTTCTTCCAATCACCAAGTTCCTTCTTTCTAATTGGCGCAATGACGTCGTCTTCTTTCCGGAATCTGATTGCTGGGTACCAATAGTCCAAACGGTCGATATACGTCTGTAAAAGAAAAGAAATGACACACCCATATACACCGTTTTGGTGATGATAAATAATAAACAACGTACGTAGTCGCCATTAATTCCGAAGCCGACAAGCTCACGACCTGCTGCTTTCTCGGGACCCCACCAGTGCTCGATGTGGTGACCACCGGTCATCGGAGCGGACGTTCTCAACGTGCGAACGCACAGACAGGGCAACGCAAGATTTCGAGACAACATGCCTGAACAGGAAACCATATTTTCAAGGAGTGCTGATATCAAACACTACGACGGTTCACAGTGTAGTGTCCCAACATCACAAGAACAATCCCTTAAAACTCGGAAGAGCTATAAAAGATCAAGCACAAACTGGAAACGAACGGACAAGAGTTCACCGTTTTTCTTCAATGAGCAAAAACGAAGTTGGCATTATAGCATTCATTAGAACACAACATCTGACGCTTCGGGGGTTTGGCCTTCTTCAGAGCCTAGAAAGTCAAATGGAATGGATTAATTCCAAAAATCCAGAGCAGACTGCATTTTAATTTGACCGCTCCAAGCTCTGAAGAAGGAGAAACCGTCGAGACGCCAGCTACCGTGAGTGTTATAATATAAACCCTGTGTCTTCTCATTGAAGAAAAGCAATCAATTATCGATCGATGCCGAGGTTAATAGAAAGTCGGTCTTGGGAATCGCCACAAAACGGAGAAGCTCTAGAAAACAAGCGAAAAACAACGACTAGCGAGCCGCCCGTAGTACAGATAATACTTTGTGCAGTGATGCGAAGTCCAATACGCAGCCGAATCGTTGGAATGGAGCACGAAATCTTCGTGAGTGGCAGTAGACGCATTTGAAGGACAGCTACGACGAAATGATTCATGTGATATGAAGGCCATGTAGTGCTGCCATTACGGTCCTATTGCTCCTAAGATTCTCAGTACTTCTTTTGGGGTACTGAGAAAACCTAGCAATGTGTTTGAGAAGAAATTCGGCGTTGTTAGGTGTGCTGAAAAGTTCAAGGTGCTTCAGATCGTATTCAAATGCTCATAAGGTTCACTTCTATATTCAGTGGAAATGTTAGTTCTGATATGCTTGTGGTCAGGGCGTGCAATTAATGAGAAATGGAGAGCTAAATCGACTTCGCCGGAGCCCAAAAAGGTATTGAGGAAAGCTTAGAGTAAGGGAAATGCCCGAAGTATGTACTGTTTTCCAAACACGAATGTTAACTTTTTATTCAGTACCTACTACAACTTTTGACTTCAGGATATTATGTGAACCAACGATGCTGAAATATTTGCAAAACTCCAGACTGCATGTGTCTGCGATGGGGTTCGAACATGCTAGTACTCTTTCCGGCGCAAACGCGTTCACCACCACACTATGCGGGTCCGTCGCTCTGCCTTTCTCTCAGTCACTTTTCTGTCTACCTCTACCATCAGCAATCACTCGTCGGCGGGATTAATCTTGGGAGCCCAAATCAGGAATGAACCCGGTTAAGCTGAGGCTGCAGTTATAATTACAATCTTAACTGTTTTATTTACTGCCTACTCTTTTTAATGACAGGGTATGCTGCGAAATATAACTTCAGTGATGCTCAGTTATTTGCAAAACTCCGGACCGCAGGTGTCTGCGGTAGGGAACGAACGCGCTATTGTCCTTTGCAGGGAGTAACGCGTTCACCACCACACCATGCGGGTCCTTCGTTTCGCCTGTCTCTCAGCTAATTCTCGTTACGCGTTACTCCCCGGAAAGGACAATAGCGCGTTCGTTCCCCACCGCAGACATCTGCGATCCGGAGCTTTGCGAATATCTCGTGCAGTCTCCTTCGTCATGCCTTTTGTGATAATCATTGTACAGTGCCATTAACAGCACGTTAGGAGGAGTCCTTATTACTGAAGAGCTATCCGTCTGGGTTCATTCTCTTGCAAACCATCTTTTGCAAATTGGATTATTCTCAATTTTATCCACAGTAATATTTCGAAACCGACTTTCTTTGAACCTCGGTATCACTAATCAATATGTATTCTTTCTTTGATGAGCTTGCACGAGGTTGATAATGATGTTTATAGTTCCCAGGATCGACTTTCTCTTAACCTCGGCATTGGAATATGAATGTGTCGTTTTCTTGTTCAGCAATCGCGAGGTTTTTAAACAGTATACATTTACTTCCATAAAAACACAATACAATACAACGCTAGCTGATGTTTCGGCAGTATCGCCTTCTTCAGAGCCGCTTTTTCGTGACTTCCAATGAGCAAGTTTAGAACAGCTGATTATAGTCATATGTGGTTCTCGGGAAATCGGGGGTCCGAAGAAGGCGTATGGGTCGAAACGTCAGTCGAGTAGAACGTTTGCAACAAATTAGTGTAATATCAACAATTTAATAAGATATTAATTATTAATAACGTGGCTAACCAATATCAGGATCCACCACCGTTGTGATATCAAAGTCGCATGATGGCAAATCTCTCTTTGTTCCACAAGGGCTGCGACTGCCTGTAGTGGTGAAGACCTGAGGCAGCGTTCGACCAGGCTGACCTCGGGATTCCAGAGAACCACAATGGCTTGACCAGCAAATCCCCGAAAAATAGAGATTATCCTGGGTCCCGCACAACCAGTGAGGATGAGTCGTTCAGGTATCAAGTAAGTAATAACGTGGTTAAATGATGGTGGATTTTGGAAAATACAGAAGATTGGAATGCCTTTCCACCAGTGCATGTTATTTTTCGTTCTCTGTAAATAAATTTATTATTCACGTCACTGCTGTGGTGAACAACTTCGGTGACATTCTATCCACTGGCTCAATTCCTTTCATATGTGCTTGTTAAGCAGACATTGGACTAACTGCATCGCCGCCGTGCTTTTACGAATGGTCGGTACGAGTTTTTCTGAAGAAAGAGTTCATGTCATGGTTGTCAGGTGCTGGAAAGGCCGAGAGGCCGTGTGGCGCAGTGGTCGGAGGCGCCCTGCAACGCACATGTGAAATCGAACCCCACGCCCATGGCCCACCATGCCTTCCATCCCTCCGGAGTCGGCAAATGGGTACCAGACTTGTCTGAGAGGATAGCTGCACTGGTTTGATACATCGGTAGGCCACCGCGAGTCATTGTAAAGGCCAGATATGCATTCAATCACCTCCAACGCCTAGTGAAGTCGAATGCATGGCGCATCCCTCAGGGATTCATCAATGCCGAGAGTTTTATCCTTTACCCTTTTTTATTACAGGACGGAATGTTCCCGAAGTTTCCAAAAGTTTTTTCTTCGTAAAGTTCATAAATGTTCAGACAAAAGACGTTTGCTGCTACACACTATCTAGATGGTTGCCGTTGCCATTGGCTTGGTTGAGCTTCACCCAAACTGTGTGTCCCATTCACAGTCAACGGAAGGAATATCTCCGGCTGTTCCAACTGTACGTATCTAAGTAGGAAAATCAACGACTAAAGAGTTAGACAGAACTAAGCGAACGACTTGGAGAGTTTTCAAAGCCATTGAGAACTCTATGGCCACCTTTTCGACTCCACGATTCTTCCTGCCCTGACTTATGCGTGAGAAACTTGGTCGCTGCGTAAGCATGATGAGAGGTCACTCAGCGTTATTGGACGCGCAGCCGAAAGGGCGATGCTAGGAGCATCCCGCTTCACACAAGTAAGGGAAGGGATCCGAAGCTCCGACCTGCGTCAACGATCAAAAATCAAAGATGCCGTTCTGTACGCCAAACAGTCGAAGATAAGGTGAGCCGGACACGTAATGCGTATGAATGACAGCCCATGAAGAGCTGTTAGTGACTGGATTCCTCAGGATGTCAAATGCACTGCAGGAAGACCATCGACCCGATGGTTAGAACTATTCACGAAAGCTCTAGAAGATAGGTATGACGCTGAACGAGTCCCTAGAGCGAGCAGAACCCACCGAGTTACCCATACATGCGACAGGGGGAAATGAATGAATTCCTGGCGCCCGCTCGAGTCACTTCGGCGATCACCGTGACGACAGGTAATACAGATGGTATATATATATATATAATTCCTTTATTTTACTTTATATGACTCGTCTCCACGTCTGCTGTGTGGATCCCGGCACTTCTCAGATTCAATTCGTTTCCTCGCATCCATTGTTAACGAAGATCTTCCAACTTTTACTTGTGGCTTCGGTTGTTTCTTGACGATTCCCATTTCATCTTGAATTCCCAACTCGATTGCAGAGAGTGGTTTATTCCTAGACAATTCCGGTACCAATTACCCGATCCCGGAGGGAAGAGAGGCTTGGTTGTTCCGGTGTGGAATCAAATTAGCACCATGCTCGTGATGGCGGACATCACTACCATTGTGCTATCCGCCCACTATATATATATATACATATAAGCCGTATGATATTAAAAATGTGAGGTATGAACGACTTTGTGCTTGTACTAACCAAATTTTTGTCCATTTCTGCGAGCAAAAGTACCAGTGCGACTAGAATTTAACTGTACCCGTAGGCTGAAAAGAACCGATACCAAATGCAGTTATTCGTTTCAAGTTAGTAACTGTTTTTTTCTCTCCAAATCCTTACGAATTACACTCTAACATCTTTTTTTAAAACATTATCTCGGAGTTTCTTGATCTCTACGTTAGCAGAAAAAATCACGAAAACCTGACGGCTATTTCCTTCCCAATTTTCCGTCTATCGTGTCCACTAGGAAATACATGCGAGTGAACTGGGTTAAATGAAATAGCGCAGCTCTTCTACATTAAGGCTTTTCTGGTGTTCTAAGCGAGATATTGCTGGCGGTAATGGCCCTCGAAAGGGATATCGTTAGTTGCGACATCAAAAGGTCGCCGGTTATCTTAAAGCCCTACAATTACTCAGAAATGCAGGGATTAGTTTGAACGACGGATAGATGAACAGAGCGTGTTTAAGTGCTTCATCTTCACCAAACCTCTGGTATCAAGGTTTTTTTGCCGAACGATAGTAAAGATCTTGTTCTTCTAGATAAAAATCCTATGGCACAGAAATATTGCTCAGCATTTTTTTTAGACCCCTGTAATTCTGATTAAACATTTTATTCTCCAATTGGTACTTTATTTCCTAAAAATTTTCTAAACACAATAATCGTGGATGAAAAATCTCCTAGGCATTAGTTCTGAAGTGAGTACCTTCGTACGAAGTCTTACCCTGAGCCATAAAAGCAGAAGAGCAGCCGTCGCCTAATAACATGGAAACCTAAGATCTCTACTGAAATTACCATTCTAGCTCTAAAATAAAATGAACTTAATGCAAAGAAAATCTCA